CTTAACTATTTGCGAACAGTAATCTAATCTAGGTCTACCTCTACCCCTCCTAACTCCTGTTTCTGCCTCTAATATGTCTCTGACTAGACCTTCATGCCTCAGAAGGTGTCCTACCAACCTATCTCGCCTATTTTTTATTGACTTCCATTGAGTCCTCTGTTTTCCTATTCTTTCCAATACCTCTTCATTTCTAACCTTTTCTACCCACGATATCCTCATCATCCGCCTATAACTTTATAACTGCCTGGTTGGAATTATCTTTAAATGAGCGTCTTGCTTTCCTAAATTTCTGACAATGTTGAACTTTCTTGCTCAAATTCTGTTTGTCTTTGTTCTCTTTGTGTTACACATCAATTGGTGTAATTTTATTCCTTTTTTTGAAGTGAAACTTCTTTACGTACGGTAGGGTAAATTCGTTTCATGCGAGTTGCTATGTAACGAAATCATGCAACGGATGTCCCCCCTCCACTCGGCCACGTAGTCGAGTTCGTAGCGGGTATCGCTTGAGCCGTGAGCGCGCTTCAATGCAACGTTCGTTACAAGCAACTCCGGCATGTATAGTGTAGCTCCAACAAAATGTATGAATGTATTTGTATGAGTTTGTGTTTGTATGCCTACACTCTACAGTCGAAACGACGCCACTGACGTCAATTTCTTAGCCCCTATCGCGGTATGTTTGTGTGTTTGAAGAAGTTTCACTTCAGTAGCGTTTTGTATAATTACACGTTGTATTTTTTTTTTTATTAGTGTCCGCTGCAATTCCTACCTGACATCTCTTTTCGATGCTTACGATATTATCTATAACGTCTGTCGTGAGTAAAAGTAAGCGTTCTGTCAGCAACCACTCTAGTCTAGTTAGTAAGTTGAAAAAAGAAAGTAAATGCGAATTTTGACTGTCCCAACTATAGGACACCTTCTCAAACATAAAGGGCTAGTCAGAGATATATTAGAAGCAGAAACAGGAGTTAACAGGGGCTCAGGTAGGCCTAGATTCGATTATTGTTCGCAAATAGTTTCGAGATGTACATTGCTCTAGTTTTCGTGAAATGCGATGATTGATCATGAATAAAATAAAATAATTAATCTAAAAAAGTAACTTTATTTATGAAATACTCAATACATAAACAAAACACATCGCACGCTATTAGGATCTGCTAAAACAAAGTACAAGCTTCAGTCACAAATTTCGATATATCACTTATTAAAATGTTTATACTAAAGAATATAAAACTTAATGTAACAATAAATTATTAATATTATTTATATATCGAATAGGAAGAATCCAATGTTAGGCACTCTTGTGCGTCTCGGCAACAAGACCCTGTTGATTGTATGAACTACCCCGTTGGTAGCAACATTATCACATTCTGTAATTTGTGCTTTTCCGACTCTTATGTCGCCGTTCTCGTTTTTGCTGATTTGGACCTGATGCTCGGAAACAGTTGGGATCATGTTATTGAAGCCCCATCCTTGGGAACTTACACCGGCGCAGCAAAGAACCTCTGTAGAAATTACAAGAATTTAATAATTACGATAAATAATAATAAACAAATTTAATTTATAGTAAAATGAAGATTCGGACTATAGGGCCGTGGTCTAAGTGAACTATTGTTTCCGGACGTTTCGTCAGCTACTGCGGCTGACATCCTCAGTGGTACTGCTGCGTTGACAACGTGAACATAGATTATATCTCGAAGTCTCGACAACGACTGGGTCGACCCAGTTCACTTAGACCACGGCCCTATAGCCCGAATCTTCATTCTGCTAGGGATTCCGGCCGTGAAAGCCTTTGTTCTTAAATTTAATTTAATAATAAATGATGAGAATTAATAAAAAATGGCATTGTAACTGGCAAAATTCCAGAAAAAAAATGCTCTACTTCGTAAAGTTTTCTTATAATTGTTTCATACAGTAGCTACATAGTGGAGGGAAGAACAACCCCTATCAGGTCAATTCAACTATAAACGAATCGCAAGTCACTGTAATGATTTTTGTTTAAAAAAATGGCAACTTGCCAGCGGGGCTATTGATTCTATTACATTTAACAGCTGTAGTGCGAGGACGCTAAGTAGTTGATGTTACACCCTAAACGGAACGAAAATGTATTTCGAGGCTTGAACTGCTATTAATGACAGTTTCTCCGCGTTTTTGTTACTTGTTGCCACAATATGCAATGCTAAAAATTCATGTCCGAAGGTTTTATCTCTGATATACATATCATTATTTCTTCACTAACTGACTTATTTTCAACGCACAGCTGAAACTATTGGGTCGATTAGAATGAAATTTTGTCAGCTTAGATATTCTGGCTATTACGTAGAATAGATTTTAAAAAATTTGCATTTTAAAGGGTTGAATAAGAAAAATGTTAAATTTTCAAATAGTCATTCGAAAGAATTACGGAAGTTTTTCGATTTTTTACCAGAATCACAGTTCTTGAGTTATAAGCGGTATCAAAAGTTTATCATACAAAATTGTGCATTTTAGCATTCGCAACAACTTCTTCATATAACTCTTTTCGATGGGACCTATATTTAACCATGATGCTATCTAAAAGAAACCTTTTTCTATTTTTTTATTTTTGAAAAACATATTTAGGTGACGTTCTTGTATAAAAATAGGGAATGAGTTATTTAAAAAAAATTGCGATATACTGCGGACAAAACAACGACGGGTAGCTACTGTTTCAAATATGTAGTCAAATGAAGTCATTTAAAATAAACCAAAATTCAAAAAATGACATATCCAAAACAAATTTAATTTCGATAATTATTTGAAAAACATACCTTAATTTCGATAATTATTTGAAAAACATACCCACCCCCAAGAAGTCACTTGTATGCTCGCGAACGATTAATTTAGAAATTCGAAAAAGATTGTTAAAGGTGTATGTTTGGAGCGCGGCGCTGTACGGATGCGAAACATGTAGGGTGGGCGCGGCGGAAAAGAAAAAGTTAGAATTGTTCGAAATGTGGTGTTACAGGCGAATGATGAGGACACCGTGAATAGAGAAGGTTAGAAATGAAGAGGCATTAGAAAGAATAGGAGAACAAAGGACTCTATGAAAGTCAACAAGAAATAGGCGAGATAAGTTGATAGGACACCTTCTAGTCTAGGTCTAGTCAGAGACATATTAGAGGGAAAACAGGAGTTAGGTGGAGTAGAGGTAGACCTAGATTGGATTACTGTTCACAAAGGATGTGGGATGTTCTCGTTTTAGGAAAATGCGAAGAATAGCTGAGAATAGGAACAGTGGAGGTGCGTGTTCAATCAGTTTTAGGACTGACGACCTTATGATGTTGATGATGATATTATCATATACTACCATACTACATAATTTACATAAATAGGAATACGCATAGGTCGGGGGTTTGTTATATTTTAAAAGTATGCTTAAGTAGAGCCTTTTTCAAAATCCATAAAAATGTTCTGCAATTTACCTGATAGTATATGATTCTTCACGAAAACGTTGGCCTTATCCTTGTCATCCTTCAATTTCTTTAGATCATCAGGTTCAAGTTTTTCGAAAGCTTCGTTAGTGGGTGCTACCAGGGTAATGGATTGATTGCTTTGCTTCAATATCTCCTCTGCTTCTGTTCCTTTAATAATCTCCGCCAAAGTGCTGTAATTTTCGTTGGAGTTGACGATGTCGAATACGGTATCTGTTGGAGGCACCAAAACTTTATTGACTTCGTGAACAACAGATCCGCATGCTTTTTCGTCATATCCAATGAGTCTTGCGCAATTTACTGTTGCCCTGTTGATGATGTTTGCAAACAATGGAACCTACAAATCAATTCAGTAGACATAACTTATTTGAATAAACATTGTCTAAAATTGTTCTTACGGTTGAATACAAATTTAAGCGTAATTCTTGTTCTCCGTCGTTTGTTTTTATCATCTGATTATTATTCATGTCACACGACTCCAATTTTTTGCCAATAGTGTGATACTGGATTAGTTCCTTTAACTTTTCTTTGTCCCCTTTGACGCTATCCAAGATCTTTACGGCTTCTGGTTGAGACAGAGCTTCGTCAGATGGTACAAAAACAGTAGCATTTTCGGAGGAATCTATTTCACTTGTCAAACCAGCTTCATCGATTAACTGACGGAATTTCGTGAAGTTTTGTTTCTCCAAAATTTCGCTGATCAAAAGAGCTAAAATTTAAATATAAAATAATTGTAAATAACAAACAAGAAGCAGTATACGTCACTACGTAGGTCACTAGGTAAGTTTTGATATTTGGTACATAAATTTTAAACTTTCTCAAAATAATTTCCGTCAACTGCAATTCATACGCTGAAGCCAATCTTGCTACATTTCTTAAAAAACTTGTTCACACGCTTGAATTAGTTCATTACCACTGGAAAACCGTTGACTATTTAGTTTATTCTTTATGATTCGAAAGAGTCCACAGTCGCAGGATGCTAAATAGGGGCTGTAGGGAGAGTGCTCAACCAAAATTAGATTAGTACTTTTCAAAACATTTTGAGTAAATTGAGCGCGACGTATTCGTGATGTAGCCGCCAAATATCATTGCGCCATTTCGGTTGGAGGTTTTTGAGACTCAATAAATTAATATAAACAAGTCTCTGTGTACAATTTTGCAATAACAGTCTTCTGTTCTACAAGACTCCTCTCTTAAACAACCCCCATTAGCGGGGAAAGCTACAACCATTCTCTCTTTAAAAGAACTTCCTCATCTTCAAAGATCCATATCGTGTTTTTAGATTTATATTTCACGTCGTAAACCTGTTTCTATAGAATTCACGTAAGGAGATTTTTCGCCATCAAACATAGTGAGCGTTTTGTTAAAAGGTACGGCACCCAGAATGTGTAATTTGTGTAAGATGATCATGTAAAATGCATAGTGTGAATTGATGGTGTACTAATCTTCAAGATTCCTCCTATACGTTTGTAGCTTATATGTCTATCTACTTCAAGTAGTTTTTTAATTTTAATTTTTGCCAATTTTTTCTGAAAACACTGTTTCAACAAGCTGTCCAAATCGAGAATCGTTATAAGTGAAAGTTAAAATCTGGTCTGTCTCATCCCGGCTTGAAATTATAGAACATAATTACACGCAAATCGCAACGCGTTAACTCTGGCATCTTGACTTAACTAAGCATTCATAAAAACATGGCGGGTAGATATAATTTCTTTTTTATTTGCTATTTGCGACTAATGGGATGTACCGTTATCAGTTAACAGTTTGTAAATAGTTTAACGACATCTCAAAACTTTGCTAGTGTCCTACGTACTTATAGAGATATTCATAAATTTCGAAGGAATAAAACACAAAAGAGAGAAAGGTGATTCTCTTCACTTACCCGATTCGGGTACAAGTATTTTATCAATGAGCTGAATTACTCCGTTTTTGGCAACAATGTCTTTCTTAATTATTTTCGCTTTTCCATCGATGCTAATACTTCCGTCGTCGGTTCGTTCGAAATTGAGTGAGTCGCCAGCCACATTATGAGTTGTCGCATTTCCAACGATAGCCGAAGAACAAACGGTGTGTAAAATTACGTGATTCTTTACAATATCTGCAAAAAAATATTGTTTATTGATATTGCACTCGCTCGTAATCATCTCAATATTCTTAAAAATTGAAAAATTAAACTTACTTTTGGCACATTGCTCTCCCCTCATTATCTTTTGGCGAGTTTTTTCATCCAGACTGTTGAATCCTTCGTCAGTTGGAGCAAAAATTGTAAAATGTCCATCATCTTTCAGGTTCTTGGCTAAATCGGTCTTTTCCAACACTAAAATAGAGTTTAGAATTGAAAACATCATTTCATCAGCGTGATTCACAAAACCTTACATCTTCTAAAGTAAGTGAGTTGTGGATGTTGATCGATAATTTCCCTCAGACTTTGAGTGGCTGGTGCAATGACTCCATCGACAACGTGCGCGATCCCGTTGGATGCTAAATTATTTTCTTTGGTTACTCGCACACAGTTGGCTGTGATCATTTTTCCGAAGTTCTTCGTTGGATAAGCGTTGATGCGGATCGAATTTTTCTCTTTTTCCCTATGCATTGGAAAGGCGAGTAAGTAATACGAAGGTGTTAATAACACAAATACAACAATATCAATGTTTCTTACCCAAGCAAAACGTCTTCGTTATTGAGGTCGTTAAGGTCAATAAAGCCGGGAGTAATGTGACTTAATACTAAGTCATGCGATGAAAGAGCATTTCTTGCATCCCTTCGTCGTCTGTACACGTCTACTTGATTCTAAAAGGTAAAATTAAACATTAATTGTACAAGTTTGTTCGGAACAAATCGAAAATCCAAAAGTACCGGGGTACCAGTGCTAATTGATTGATTGAAGGAAAAGTAGAAATTTAACAAGAAATAGTAACAGTTAAACATTTAAACCTAAAACCTAAAAATGTTCTATATTATTATTTACAGTTACAACTTCCCAAAACATCGTTTTTGGTCTACGGTTTTCTATAGCCGATCAATACAATTTATGACCGCTTTCCCAATGAATCGGTTCGTTCTATTTATAAGGATGCAGACTTTTTTTACAACTACAGCAGAACCTTGATAACTTAAACCTCCGATAACGTAATAACCTCTATAAATTCATAAAATTTTGTGTTACCTTCCCCTCGGAGTCCAAAACCTCTATTACTTAAAACAAAAACCCTCTATAACTTAAACGAATAATTTGGGCATCGCACTTCAGTAAGCACTGAAAAGTGGTTTGAATCAGGAAAAACTCTTCTACGTAAAAGACAAAGAATTGGTAAATTTCCTAATTTAGAAAAATGCTTGTTTACATGGTTTAGACAGTAGAAATATGTAAAAACATTAGTGTTAGTGGACCTATACTGAAGGAAAAAGTAGAAGAGTTTACTAAGTCACTGCAAATCCACAATTTTAAAGTTTAAACTTAAACCCTTAGTAAGTAAAAACCTCAATAACTCAAATTATTTTACGTTTCCCTTTGTTTTTTTTTTTATCGAGGTTCTATTGTACTTATACAAGAAATATATCGTAAAACTAAAGAATTGTGTAATTGTCATAATTATTTAATTCCACTCTTTTTTTATTTTATTCAATCGCATAAAATCTGACCTTAGCTCGTTCTAATAATTTCAAAAGTGTCATTGAAAAATAAACCCGCATTAAATAACTACATCATTTCTATTCTGTATTCAATTGCACTATCGTTTTATTATGCAAATAAATGTTTTCGTGCACGAATACAAACCAGCTCTAGCATCCTGTCGGTAAATTCTGACAAAGCTTCATCAGATGGTACGAACACTGTTATGTTTTCGTTTTTAAATTTATCTTCCAAACCAGTGGTTTTAATCAGGTTGGAGAACTCCTTGCCTCCGACATCGTTGATGGTATCTAACAGAGGTTTAAGTTCCACTTCTTCGGTACATCCTGAAGCTCCTTCTTTACGTTTATAACCATAACAACACTTGTAACGTACAGTAAACGTCTTGACAATGCCGTGATTATTCACTCTGAAACAAGTAGAAAAGTGGTTCTTATTAAAAAAGTACAAGACCCTTGAAAAATACGGTTTATAAAATTTATACAGTACATAGATAGTAGAAACTACAAGTAACTTGAACCATGTTAAATTGTTACAGTCAGTAGGTCGAAGAAAATACGTAATTCATATGTTATTCCGAGTATTCCTAGTTTCTAATCTTGGCTCCCATCTGCTTGTAATTGTTTTACTAACGTTTCGTAAACATCACAATTTTCTTCATCAGAGCGATGAATTTGATATTGAGTATCATACAGTTTGATACTTATTATTAAAAATGAGAATGATATGGCACCAATTTTGGCTTTCTAAAAAAAGTACTTGTCGAAGCTGAGTTCTTTAATGATTTATTGACTAAAAAAATATTATTTTGAACTTTTTTAAACCTTAATATTTGTATTGGTTCTTCCGTTTTCTTAGAAATTTCTTTACCTACTTTGGAAGGTTTGGATTATTATCAAATTATTCAGAATTTCACGTGGAAATAAAAATTATTTTTATAATGTTTTGTTAGGCATAAAATTAAAATTGTTTAAACTACATTTTCAAATAAACTTTATTTATTTTCACGATATATTTTATAAGAATTTTTTCAGAATTAATTTCTACTCAGTTCATTCATGATATTTTCCACAATCAAAACTAAACACTTTTTATTTTTTTTTTATTTTTAAAAACTGTTTCGTCAAAAATTCGTACCAGTCTGTATAAGTTATTATTTTGTATCCAGTTGGTAAGTTAAACAAAAAAAAGTGATTTACATACTGATTTATATCAGACACGTTTCTTAGTCATATAAGATTTAATTACGTCCACTTACAAGTTTTGTATCCTCCATAAACATAATTTACAGAAGCTGTTTGACAGCACATCTATTCCTGAAGCATTAATTTTTATATTCTACTCGTCAGATGGCTAATTTTAAGTGTTTTTTGTAGGTTTTTTATTTTCGATTTTATTAATCTACTATACCACGTTTAATTGTATCAAAAATAATAAGGTGTATTAACTAACTTTCCTGTTTAATNTATATATATATAATAAGGGTAAATAATAGGTATAGGGTAGCTGCATACCAAATCATTCAGAATAAAAAACCGCATTTGAACTCAGTATATAAAATTAGAAAAAAAATTACCAAAGACCATTAAATAGTTGACTCATAGTAAAAATTCTTTACAAAATTATTTTTGATTAAAGATGGTCGCTTACTTCCAAATTAACCAAGAATTTCAATGATATAATGAAGTACAGGGTGTTTTATTTGAAATAAACAAAGTTATATCCGGAAGTAAAGCATGACTGAAAATATTTTACATTAAAATTCATATCAAATTATTATGAATGTTAGATTTTCAAAATTATCGTAAATTCCAACTGTTACTTCGTAGAGTTCTTACAAAGAATTCGCCTGATAAGCCCTTTATACATTCAGCTTTCATTTATTATTATGAAAATATTTTCCAATACTTTTTTTTCTTTATCACATTCAAAAAATCCAACTGCCAACAAGATATAAATACTGGAATTCAAAAAATATTTCCCTTCTTATCGCTTTCAATGCCACATAGGTACAAATAGCATGCATTCAGTATCAAAAGCATACTACTTAAAAAAAACAAGTATTTGTGGATTTTTTGTTTGCGTTCACGATTTGACCGTTTTCTAATAGTGTATAAATAACAATTTTAACCTACTTCGTAATGCACTCGTATTTGTTAGCAGTCTCGAAACAATTAGACAGGCTGATGGAAGTGGAGAAAACATTCTCCGTTTGATTCTTCCTCTTGGAGGACTCGGCTGACGAATTTGAATTCGACTTGTCCTCATCGTCGGTGCTTTCTTCGCGCTCTACGCAAACATGGTCTCTGAAAACAAAACAAAATTTTTGAATTTCAAATTATCCAATATTAAAACTTTCATAAAACAATTAACTGAAGTTAAATATTTTCGTCAACTTTCTCCAATCGTGCACATATTACAATTAATGAAAAATTAATACTTTCATAAAATGTCTACATATTTTCATTGCGAGTACTGATACACTAAGTTTTTAGATGTGAAATAAAAAATTTGGCAGAATTATTTATTAATAGATCTGATATGACTTCTTCACGGCATACATATTTGTAAGTTATTACAAAAGTGTTTTTAAAACATTCATAAAAAAATGGTACAATATAAATTGATTTTCAAAATACTGTAAAGTACTTAAATATCTTTTTTGTAATAGTTATTACCGCATAAAGATGACTTTATGCGATAATTATTTTTTCTTTCTGAATATTATGTTTTATTATTTGTATAGCTACCTAAGAGTGTGCATTCAAATAATTTTCATATTTTCAATTTCGTGAACATTTGAAAAATTAACATAAATTAAATATTTTTTTTAAACTGAAGTAAAACAATTTCTAACTTTTGTAAATAATAGAAACCTAAACAGTTTTTGAATTAAACAGTCTTAGGAATTATATTTATTACAAAAGCAGATTAAAACAAGTAACGAATGTATCAATGACAACATTATATCAACTTTTTATATTGGTTTTCGTAAAAATTTTTCAAAATAAAAAGAGAAGCAAAACAATGTCATTCTTACTGAAAGAAAAGTTTTTTTTAATGAAACTGTTATACTTAAAATAACCTGACTAAAAAAATTGAAAATTAAAAAATTAGCATAAAAAAATGAGATGTAGAAGAATCTATTAAATACCTAATACAGTCTCAACTCCATTAGATTTTAAAAATTTTGCCATACAAAGAAGACTTCTATCATGTGCCATAAGACACAAGTAATGATGGTGGTATTTTTATTATATAAAAACTGTGTAAAAACCAATATTCCATCTAAAATCCTCAAAAAAAAAACAAACGCATTTCGACATCTAGGGTATACTCAGAGACTATCTGTAACTGAGCGTGTCCAAACGGACTTTTTTTAATTTTCAATATTCTGTATTTAATTTTTTTATATCATTAGTATGCCAAATGTATTTCGCAATTGTATTAACAAATAGATCCGGTTATAGATAAAAAAATAATAAATGTTAATAATAAATGCATATTTAATATTTATACTGTCTGAATTCAATGCAAAGGTGGGGCTAAAATTCGTACTGCATGTAATTTAAACGCGGATGGTACACATTGGTACCAGATGATTTTCTTCTGAACATAATAAATGGATATAAATAAATACATGGCTATACAACATAAAAAAACAACGTCCTTGTCCTTGACCACTGCTTATGAATAACATTTATAGACCATATGAATCACTCAAAGTTAAAACAAAATACTTAAGGCATACAAGCAACATTTGCATTAAATACATAAAAATGTGTAGTTTTCTTTTCTAGCATTCATCCTTATCAGTATGTGTCTAGATAGAATTTTTAACGATATATGTGTATTAAGCTATTTCTTATCACATTTCTAGTGATTAAAAAATTACCGGAGGAACAAACGTTCAAACAAATGTTAATAACAGCTAAAATTATCCTCAAAATAAAGAAATGTCACTTTGTTAAGGGCGTATGAATTCTTCTTTTAAAACCTTATGAATTACCAAAACTAAGGAGAGGCCCCAAAACAACGTGTTGTATAGTGAGCAAATTGTAATTATTAAATCACGCAAATTAAGGCAAGACAAGAAATTGAATTGTCAAAACAATAATTCAATCTTTCCAATCAACTTTGTTATTTGTGGAAGCGCTAATAGGGTATAATATGGCGATTAACCTGGTGATGTTTACGTATTGAAAAAAATATTAACAGTAATTGTCGAATATGGCATTGACATATAGGATAATGGTAAAATTGTTTGCATATCTTAATTATATACATAATCTAACTGCTATTTATATCTTCTGTAATAAATTATGAATACAAAGAAAAAGCTGCAATTAATAGTAGAGTTATAAAACTAATTACACATTGTTTTTTCCTTTGATAGTTACATTTAGATACTTTACTCTTCAATTACAAATTGCACCATTAAAAACCGTGAAAATGTCCTTACAAAAATAATTTTTATATGCACTGAATTTAATACGTTTAATGTTTTTGAAACTATTAAAAAAAATGCCCTTGTGGTGAAGATAGTTTATCATTCAAACGAAAACGTGTAAATCTAAACAATATTACATTAATATAATAAAAATGGAAAGATTAGCTCATTACATGAAAAACTGGAGGTGTTTGTTCAACCAGTTTTAGGACTGACAACTTTATGATGATGATGGTGACGTATTCTTTAATACCACACTTAAAAGGAACCCCAGAAAAGCTCTGACAGGTTGAAATTTCAAGATACACTAACCTCAGTCAAATTAGCATCATTCGAATATAATTTAACTTATACCAAAATTTATCTAGGAAGTCAGATAAGTCAGGACGGAAGGAGTAGTAGGGATATAAAGCAGAGGATAGGGCAGGGTCGTGTCGCCTTCAATAAAGAGAAGTCACTTCTATGCTCGCGAACGGTTAATTTAAAATTCGAAAAAGATTGTTAAAGGTGTATGTTTGGAGTGCGGCACTGTACGGGTGAGAAACATGGACAATGAGCTCGGCGGAAAAGAAAAGGTCAGAAGCATTCGAAATGTGGTGTTACAGGCGAATTATGGGGATACCGTGGATAGAGAAAATTAGAAATGAAGAGGTATTAGAAAGAATAGAAGAACAGCGGACTATATGGAAGTCAATAAGAAATAGGCGATATAGGTTAGTAGGACACCTTCTCAGTCATATCTAGTCAAACACATATAGGCAGAAACTGGAGTTAGGAGGGGTAGAGGTAGACCTAGTTTAGATTACTGTTCGCAAATAGTTAAAGATGGGGGCTGTTCTAGTTTTAGCAAATTGCAAAAGTTAGCTCACAATAGGAATGAGTGGAGGTAAGTGTCCAACTAATCTTAGGATTGACGACCTTATGATGATGATATAAAAATCATAATATTTTGAAAAAAATTCTAATTCAGTGATAAAAAATAGTCGAAGATAGCTAATCTGTTGGAACTTTCGTACTTTAGTTTCTAATAGTAATGCTCACAAAAGGGCGAAAATTGAATTTTTCGGAATTTGATGTTAGGATGTTATAAAATCCAGAGGTACTGTGGCAATTTTAATACCAAATGTGAAGCCAATATCGTAAAGTTCCCCGGAATTGATAGCTATCTCTGATTTTAGTTTCTACGCTAATCTGTGTACTTAAAACTTCTTTTTTCAAAATAAACTAAATGTATTTTGTCAAATTTTATACAAATACCGATTGTTCTAGCTGCGAAATAATAACATTGAAAAATTTTGTCTTTCGTACATTCGGAAGGAGTATGGTAAAAAATAAATTTTTGAATTGGTTCATAACGAATTTTTCAGTTCGCATGACAGGAATTGCAGGGCCTTATTTAATTACATTTAATGTAGATATATCGTCTATAATGAACATTCGTATACAATGAGCAAACTTTTCATTCAATTTAAGGCTCTTTTCGCTGGAATTTAGAAAATAAATAAACGAATATTCCATACATCTTGAGATCAGAAAACCTCACCCATCAATTAAGTAGGATTTCACATAAAATCAAGGAAATGCAATTAATTATTTATGTTAAATTCAGGGGGCAGGCTGTTAAGTTAAACGTACACACATGAAGCGTGTAATTGAATGTAATTACTTGTACGGATATCTGCAATTTACTGCTGAATCTTCTGCTTAACAGACTCGACCTTTTAACCTGTACTATCGCCGCAAACGCATAAAGAGCAATTATCGTAACCTTTGACGGAAATGTTTTCCTATAGGCATTAGTCTGTACCGGACAGAAAAACAGAAAATTCTAGAATCGTTTATAATCAATTGCAATTACGACTGTGTATGTGGTAGAGGTATCTATGTACATAAGTGGTTACGGTTCAACAAACGTGTTTGTAATGTTTATCAGTCTTTCTGCATATGCGCAACCGCTAAACAATTTAATGAAGGTCGCATCAATTACGAGCAATAAAATTAAATAAATAAACAACATGCAAATTACAGTCGTTTAATGTACATCGTCTTCGAAAAAAGTCGTTACTCATGGCTAGGACGTTGCGTTACCGGAAAGCAAATAAACCTTTTGCTACCTAATAATATAATACAATACAATACGTAATGTAATACCTTCATACATGCTTTATTATGCTGTAATAAAATATGTAGATATTCAACAGACACAGGGTTACAGAAAGCTTTTCGAGAATAGAAATGCAAGTGCTTTTATCGTTTTGCTTGAAGTTGATTTTCAATAGTTTGGGCAGGATAGTCTATGTATACATACAGGGGCGTCCACGGGTGCCTGAGCACCCACTCGATTGGGTTGGGCACTCAATCAATTCCAGTCGATTCAAATAATAACCCATTTTGAAAATTCGGTTCAAATAGTTCAAGCTCGTAAATGAGCAGCCGAACTCGATCTTTTCAAGTATAAGAAATTCGATACATTGGTGACCTTTTTGAAGTGAAACTTCTTTACGCACGGTAGGGTAAGTTCGTTTCATGCGAGTTGCTATGTAACGAAATCATGCAACGGATGTCTCGTAGTGGGGATCGCTTGAACCGTGAGCGCGCTTCAATGCAACGTTCGTTACAGACAACTTCGGCTGCTTAATTCCTTAACCCCTATCCCGATATGTTTGTGTGTTTGAAGAAGTTTCACTTCAGTAACGCGTTGTATAATTACACGTTGTATTTTTGAAGTGAAACTTCTTTACGCACGGTAGGGTAAGTTCGTTTCATGCGAGTTGCTATGTAACGAAATCATGCAACGCATTTCCCCCGCTGTCTGTCCCTATGTATGCTTAGATCTTTAAAACTACGCGACGGATTTTAGTGCGTTTTTTTTTAATAAATAGAGTATTCAAGGGGAAGGTTTATATGTATAACACATGCATAATAGAGAAACACTAATAATTTTAGAGGTTTGTAATGTGATGTCGTAAATAAACACATTTTTTGCGCTTACATTACAAACGCTGGCTGAACCCTACGAGATGGATCAAAATAATATACTACAGTATTGTACAGCTTAAAAAGGTCTACAAAAAAGTCCGCGATGGTACCTATATGTGTATCTCTTCGGGATAACCCACAATAACCATTTTTTATCCTTTACTTTTTACGAGAAATAATGGCTTATTTACGAAGTGATTTTAAGCAATACGGTATTAATCCTTATTCAATTAAGTACTTTTAAATACTTTGTGCATTTAATATAGATCAATATGGCCCTTTACAGCATGTAATTTAAATGAATATTTTCGAAGATATTACAGACTTAAAATGCAGNTTATCTGTAATTAAAATGATTACATATATGTAACTAACTATAAAAATAAACACCATAAAATCGTTAATTTAATAGTAGCCGTAAGGGCCAATATAATTTTTCATTTTCACTTACCACCAAAGGTAAATTCCTAATTATAACAGCAGCGTAATATGCTTTTAGGGAGTACCATCTGTTAAAATATTCTCGTTTTACAATTTGTACTTCGGTTGGAACTAAAAAAAAACAAAAAAGTCTGATGTTGAATCTAGTCAGTGTTTAGTATTACTAGAACGTTTTGTTTAACGAAATGCTCACTTACACATTAAAACGGACGTCATAGTGTGGGTATACATGAAGAAAACGATTTCGCACAGGCAAAAGAAGAAATTAGAAATAGCTAAAGAACCATTTTGTCCAACTTTGTAAAAGATGCTTCCTACCAATAGACCCGATAAAATATGATGTACCAGTTGAACCTTTAAAGCTGTATGACTTCTGCTTCTGATCAGCATCATCCTCTTCAAAAGGATCCAAAACTGGGCAAAAAAGGACGTAGGGAATTCAATGTGTGCTTTTTCAATCGTTATTGGCTCTGTAGTTTCTTTATAAACGGCGTAACTGGTGTCCAAAGCAATCTGAGCAGTTTCTTTTTTTTTAATTATGGAGTATCCACTTGTGTTATCAGTATTACAGAGTCGAAGGTGTCTCTTTCCATTTTCAGTAGCAGTAGATAACATCAGTGTGATATCACTATCCATGTGAATCAGTTCAATTACTAAAAGAACATTGCAAAATAATTAATATAAAATTAAGAAAGACAAGAGTTTCTGCGACTTAAAAATTTCATACAACGAAAAAGAAATTGGAAGTATTTGACGTGATGTCACAAGATAATTTAATTGTTGCTATTAATTGACCTGTGTACCTACAGCTATTTATTGCAAACTGCGGCAAGGTCTAATAATCATAATAATTTTTATAATTATTGCAGTATTCGGTCATGTTTTATTACCGCAAAGTCCTCTTTCTTCGGACGATTGAAGCACCAAACCGGATATGTGCAACCTTTAATGTAGGGGTCATCAGTGTATAGGATGATTGAGTATATCGTGCATGTCCAACAATTATCAATTTACCAATTATTTCATTAAATTTTAATTCATAATAATGTATTCAAAACAACGAAAGAAATTAAAATACATAAATATGAAACACTTTGACATTTAATAGGGGTTAATATAAAATATTAATGTGAAAATTCATTTTTAATTTTCTTATCCACTACAAAGTACCTCAGGTTAATGAGGGAAAATTGTTATCACAACGGCAACAAAAATCTCCCTCATTAACCTGAGGTAGTTTATAGTGGATAAGAAAATTGAAAATGAATTTTCACATTAATAATTCTCGATTAGTTTAACCTTAAGAAAATAGTTATGATAATCAGCGGATAGTAAACTATAACCCAAAAGAAATAAAAGTTAATTTTCAGATATAAAAAACGTAATGAATTAACTAATATTTCCAATCCAACGACGCCTATTAAATGTTTCAAATAACGTATTAATAAAATTAAATATTCAGTAAATACATACTACATAGACATACTCGTATTACTTGTAAAAAGGAGTTCCTCCTCTCCATAAAAAATATTTGTGAACGACATGACATCTTTGTTAGATTTTTTTTTAGAAAAAGGAAGAAGCAGGATAAGCAATAGGTATACCTTATAGATACGTATGTTATTTGTAAATAATACATCACTTAACACCAGAAATTTAATGAGATAAAAACTATACTTTTTCTACATATTGTCATATTTTATCATTGTTCAAAAAATGAAATAATCCAAAAATAAAAGTTTGATTTATTAACCTTTATTATGAACTGATAGAAAAGATTGAAAACAGTTCCATTTACACATTAATGCAGTTGATTAATGTAACAATTAAAAGTGCACTTTTAATGTTGTAATTAAAGGAGCAATTTTAATTTAAGCAAAATACAAACATTCTTTCGTAAACTTACTAAAACATATGCTGAACTAGTCAATAAAACGCATTTAAAAATAGTTTGCGTCGAGCATGTGTTTTACAAAATACAGCTACACGAGTGCAAAATTGATTGCATTTTGTTTATTTCTTATTTATTAAACATTTCCAGTTTTAAAATACCGTAATGTTACAAATGCAAGCATGACTGTACATCACTTATTCACTTATCGTATACTATTCTACGAACAATAACCACTAGGTCTAATTTTTAGAAAAATCCGATTTTCCTGTTTTTACGCACAAAGTGACAAACTTGACTTACCCGGGAAATATGATTGGTATCATCATCACCGTAAGGTCGTCAGTCCTAAGACTGGTTGGACACGTACCTTCACTCTTTCCTATCCTGAACTAATCTTATCATTTTCCTCAAACTAGAAAATCCCAAAACCTTAACTATTTACTATTTGCAAACAGTAATCTAGTCCTCTTAACTCCTGTTTCTGCCTCTAATATGTCTCTGACTAGACATTCATGCCTAAGAAGGTGTCCTACAAACCTATCTCGGCTATTTTTTTATTGACTTCTATAGAGTGCTCTGTTCTCCTATTTTTTCTAATACTTCTTCATTTCTAGCTCCCTCTGCCCACGATATCCTCATCATTCACCGGTAACACCAAATTTCGAACGCTTCTAACATTTTCTTTTCCGCTGCGCTCACCGTCTATGTTTCGCACCCGTATAGCGTCGAGCTCCAAACATACACTTTTAACAATTTTTTTCGAATTTTTAAATTAATCATTCGCGAGCATAGAAGTGACTTCTGTTTAGTAAAGGCTACTCTACCGTGCACTATCCTCTGTCCTTCGTCCTGACTTATCTGACTTCCTAGATGTCTAAAATCAGTCACTTCTTCTAATCATTCGTTTCCTATCTTTACTTTCACTCTTTCCCTACTTTTTCTTCCCTTACATACCAGTATTTTTGTTTTACTTGGTATATGATTTTATAATTTTACCATATAAACAATCTTCTCTGTAATCCATTGCCTAAATTCTTAGAGAGTAAATGTTATACCCTACCAGTTCGAATCCTATAACACATAGTTAGATTTTTTATTTTTTTTACATCTGTCCTAAGCAAATCGTCTCGATCGTCCAGCACAATCTACATACAATATACACTATATCTTCATTTCATTTCATTAAAACACAGCTTTGGTTTCTACACGATTTTTTGATTAAATTTTTGTTGTTTAATAATCATAAGAGTTAATTACTCAGATAAAAAAAGAGGATATCAAGCTATCATATTGTATTTATTTGTCATACTGGACTGAGGGGTGAAGGGAGATTTCACATCACAATATGTTGTAACGAATTTTAAGAAAGGGGGAGGAATTCAAAATGAATAAAAATATCTTGGCATAATATTTAAGTAACCTTCTACAATAAAATGTATTTCACAATGGTATTTTAATAACATCTATACGAAGTTAAAACCAAATTTAAAAGGGACTAATTTGACTATATGGAAATAAAATAATTTTTGGATCTAACTTTTTTATGCAGTTTATTTAAAGATATGACTAGATACAAGTATTGATGAGAAATAATAGAAGGTGTATAATTTCAATTTTCATCATCATAAGGTCGTCAGTCCTAAGACTGGTTGGACACGCACCTCCACTTTTTCCTATCCTGGGCTAATCTTCACATTTCCCTAAAACTAGAACAACCCAAATCCTTAACTATATGCGAACAGTAATCTAACCCAAGTCTACCTCTACCCCTCCTAACTCCTGTTTCTACCTCTAATATGTCTCTGACAAGACCCACCTATCTCGCCTATTTATTATTGACTTCCATAGAATCCTCTGTTCTCCTATTATTTCTAATTTCAATTTTGCTACTAAAACTTTATTACGACGTTAATGTATTTGTTATTTTCTATGCTAACTAAGTATCTAGATACTATACACGGTGTTATCAATGCTGCGTGATACGTCGCTTATATTAGCTGATCATGACAAGCAGCCATTTGCATATAGTTCTTCAAATTAATTTTTCCTGTCGCTGATGTATGCAGAAAAGTTGTATTAATACTATTTTTTAAACTATTATCGTTATGGGGTCTGTCGGTAAAAGCAGCAATATTTGTTTTTTTATTCGTGTCAGAGTCAGTCGAATTGAAACTAATCGTGGCAGCATTCAAATAGAATTGAGGTTGCACGGATTTTTGCTTTGAAGGCATTGAACTCCATCATGCACTTTGTGATGCTGTTATTACATCCGACACTGTCGAGAACACCAGTGATTAAAATGACCGGTTTGAACAGTTATTTTTTTGTTGACATTTTTATTAAACGATCTGTGAAATGCAAAATGCGGCACATCTAATAATGTTAGTTTTTTTCTCTCAATTTTTTGCGAAGAAGTTATCCTGTTCTCCTGTTTCTTTTCCTATACTACGAATTACCGAAATATAGGTGTTTCGTTAGGTTTACGTTTGATTTTAGATTTGTCCAGTAATTGTAACAACACTAATAAAATTTGTTAAGTCTGGCAATTGGAGAGTGAAGTGTTCGTTGTCATACCGATCAGATTAATCTCCTTTCTTTTTTGATAATTCCTTTTTTAGTTTTCTCATTTGAGAAGCCCGAAAGGAAAAATATTGTGACCAAAATAAGTGAAATCAAATTTTGGGGATAGTGGACGGAGATAGTTTGATCCTGTTAGAAAACAATAGGAGAGGCGATATTAAAAAAGGACACATACAAACAAAAGTTCTAGTAGGAAAAATTGACCTTCGCCACGAATAATGCAATAAAGTAGTAAATAAGGACATTCGAAATTATTAGACATAAAATTTATGAGTAGCGGAATTAGTCACATCAGTCAAAAGTTTTCCGAAAGTGTTCTATTTATCAATTGTATTTTAAATGATCGTGACGATATTTTTGAAGTGAAACTTCTTTACGCACGGTAGGGTAAGTTCGTTTCATGCGAGTTGCTATGTAACGAAATCATGCAACGCATTTCCCCCGCTGTCTGTCCCTATGTATGCTTAGATCTTTAAAACTACGCGACGGATTTTAGTGCGTTTTTTTTTAATAAATAGAGTATTCAAGGGGAAGGTTTATATGTATAACACATGCATAATAGAGAAACACTAATAATTTTAGAGGTTTGTAATGTGATGTCGTAAATAAACACATTTTTTGCGCTTACATTACAAACGCTGGCTGAACCCTACGAGATGGATCAAAATAATATACTACAGTATTGTACAGTTTAAAAAGGTCTACAAAAAAGTCCGGGATGGTATGTGTCTATATCTTAAGGATAACCCACAATAACCATTTTTTATCCTTTACTTTTTACGAAAAATAATGGCTTATTTACGAAGCGATTTTAAGCAATACAGCATTAATCCTTATCCAATTAAGTACTTTTAAATACATTGTGTATTTAATATAGATCAATATGGCCCTTTACAGCATGTAATTTAAATGAATATTTTCGAAGATATTTCAGACTTAAAATGCAGGGACATAGCGGTTGCGGCGGTACCGGCCGGTTTGTATTATCTGATGACAAAAAAGTTGTGATTGTTGTATATAAAGACATTCTATAGTATATTTACTATCAACATTGCACCCGTGCGAAGCATACTGTACAAATAATACCATTAAACCAATTTCTTAACCCCTATACCGGTATGTTTGTGTGTTTGAAGAAGTTTCACTTCAATATTGTTGTTGATCAGAAGTGATAATTTTTCGTTTAGATTTGCTTATTTGGTCTTTGTTTTGCATATTCGGTCTTGGTCTTGTTTGTTCAGTCTTCAATTGTCAGTATAAAGACAGCCTTAGTCTTTTTTGCATTATCACTTACCCGGCCAATTTCTAATAATTATAGTCAAGAAGGCAACTCAACGATATCAAACAATAGAAGTTCCCCATTCGTGTTGCCTTTTTCTACCCTAACCTTATGACCCTAACCTAACGACCTTTACTGCTATTTTTCGTAAATATCGCAGTGAAAATTTATTAAAGATTGTGGAATAAATGTTAAACAATACAGTATGTCAAGGGAACAATAAAATATATTCGGTTTGGAAAAATAATATAAAGATAATAAATTACAATAAAACCAAACAAATGGGGCTCATACTTGCGGGCTGAAGGTTGAGTACCGCGTTAACT